ATCATAATGATACCAAAATAATAATTTAAAACTCCCTGTTATATTATTTTCAATGTTAAGTTGATAATATTAGAAGACATTAGGTAGATATTTGGTACAGAGGAAAGGAAGCAGGGACAGGGTACAATGTACAAACCTCAGGACAGCCATGCTCCTGGCCAGATTATCACTTAGCTACTTTAATTACCAGTCAAGGCCATAACACTTTTCTATCTAGCTCTATTACCTATTTTATTACCAATAGCCCATGATAAGGTATAATTTAGATAAGCACACATTACAAGGATTTAACACTAAATCCAAATAAACAAATTATACTTTAGTATTAGCATTGGGATGCTGCTTTTGATGTTTGTGTGGCCATACAAATGTAATTCAAAAACATTAAAACAAAGTAAGTATATATTTAATTATATATACAGCAATATATCTCAACTGACTACTAAATTCAACATTTACTTTTATTCAACCAATTTTTCAAATTCCAATCATCTTTAATTCAACCAACCATGATTAAAGTTTTACAAATCCCAATCAGTCTATTTACTTTAACTGCTATAAATCTCCCTTAGGTGTTGACAAAAAAAAATGTTCTGGAAAAATGTCCATTAGCACAGTATATGTGAATGTTGAAATATGTGATAATCATCTTCTACAAGGTAATAACACCAAATAAATTAATAGTGTGTGACATTTTGGTAACAGCATTGTTACCATTATTAGGAAAAATATTAAATGAGGAAAAATATCACAGCATGTTCTTAATTGGTGTAATATAGTAATACTAAATTGTGCCTTTTTGATAATCATGAGCATAATTCAACACTTTTATTTCAATCGGTGGAAGGCTGGTTAAACCGTTTGGTTTTCGACCACTACGACCCAGGTTCAATTCCCGCATTGGAAACTTTTTTTCTGTTTAAAAAAAAAAAAAATGCTCCAATGGCCCCCCTATTCTTGCAAAAGTCCAACCCCACCAGCGAGTGCAAGTAACCAAACGGGGCTCTGGCACATTTGTAAGTGCAAAGTCGAACTGCTTTCACATGTGTAGACATGTGGTGCGCTTACAGTAAAAAAGCAGTCGCTAACTACCCACCATGATTATCATGGCCTGTACCACCTGTATTAGGGATAAGCAAAAAAAAAAAATCAAACAAAATTTCTGATCTCTTGGGATGTTGAATCAAAGATGTTGGAGTCTAAATAAATATATTTATTTAATCATTTATTTATTTTAGAAGAATAAATACACAACCAAGATAATTTTTAATTGACAACTCCTTTTCTTTATCCTGGAGTACTCTAACTTGATTTTACTCTCAAATATATAAAATTTAAATGTTTCAGCATTAACCTAGTACTTTATTCTAAGGGTGGTAACAAAATGTGCTTTTACCAAACGTTGGATATCAATTGCTTATTTGGATTTGGTACCTTGTGGTTACAATAGAAAATACAGCGGAGATGGTGCAATTAAACAGGAATCTTAAATTAATACAAGAACTAAAAATGTATTGTATTCCCAGCATTTATAACATTATGTATAATTATAAGTGCACCATATGTACAGTCTTTGATTCAACACCCCAAGGGATCAGAGCTTTCGGTTGAATTAAAGGAAGTGTTGAATCAAAGTTATTCAGATGATTAGCTAATCATCTAACTCTCTAAAATAATATATATTTTTTTAAAATAGCTTTGTAATGTAAATTAATGATATTAATTGAAACCATTGTGTGTGTACTTTTTTTGTATTTATTTTTTTATTTTCATGATTAACTTTTAGTATCGGGGACAAAATAGCATTAATACATATTTTTGAAACATAAATAATTACAAAAAATATTTTATTTTAATTGAAGAAGAGCAGTTGAAAGGAAATAAATATGGAAAATAAAAAGAAAATATAAAAATATTATTTAAAAAGAATCATGATCTTTTAAAAAATTTCTTTATAGATAACTGTTTTTGCTCCGAAATTCTTTGTATTGTAACAGAATGTATTCCAAATGGTCTATTTTAAAAGACATGCAGGTCTTTCTTCCTCTAAAATGTCTTTTAAATAACAAAGTTTTTATTGTATTAAAGCCATCCACTGCTGCTGCAGGTGTTATTGATTTTGTGCTTAAATCTTTTATAATAACATGGAAATGGAATATTGAAATAAAATGTTATCATAATCATTGTGGCTATATTTTATAAAGATTTATTTATCTAAAAAAGGTAATTATTTGTAAATTTTAAAATAACTAAAATATTTCAATGCTGAAAATTAAAAATAAAATAATATTATCAATTAGCCCACGACGCCTAAATTCCTGCGTAAATAAATAAATAAATAAATAACACTAGCGACATTGCGCAATGGCACAGCAAAGTGAAACTTAAACTAGCCAAAAGTGCGCAGGCGCGATCCTATTGGCGCTCGCTGATCGTTGCCGCTGTAATACCTTTTTAGCAGTAAAGCTGTATGTAGCAAAACATTTCAACTGTCGAAATTCGAATTTTAAAATGGTGGAACTATCGGAAGTGTCGTATTATCAATATTGTCGAATTACGATTTGTTATTTGATAGGCCGGTGGTCAGGACATCAGAACATGGTCGAATTATCGCCAAGTGTCGGATTGACGTGTGTCTAATTAACGAGGTTATACTGTATTAAGATCAAATCAAAATTGATTAATAGTGTTTGATGTTTTTGTAAAGCATTGTTATCATCATCACACAAAAGTAATGAATGAAACACAGAAATGAAAATATAGGAAAGATAAAAAGAATATATCTGGAAGAGATACAGTAGAACTGTGCCATGAGAAGACACTCTCACTAACAGATACCTCTCTACAAAGGACAGTTTTAATTGCCAAAATTATCTTTCTTACTTTTTAACAGCTCTCCAGTAACAGAACACCTCTCTCTAAAGGACATTTTGGTTCTGCAACTAGTTGTTGTCCTTTTTAAAGGCAGGCATTGGCATTCTATCTCTCTCTGTCATCATGCCATCCGTCTCTGATTTGGTGGTTGACCAACATCATTGATGAAAATTTCATTAACAGTACTTAACAATAATAATGAGTTATAACCAGACCAAGTAAATTGTGACATTTTGGTCATACTGCTGTTACCGAGAGACAATGTATAATTTACTTATTTGGATTTGATTGGGTGATTATCATCTATAATCTAAATTGCACCTAAGCAGTGTACCTAATAATCTGTATTATAATCTGTACCTAATTTTCAAAGTATGTGTTTATAAGGTATGAACAACATGGTTTTTTTTTTAATATTTGTTTCTGAAAAAAATAAAAAACAATGTTTGCTTCATAGGTGAAACCTTAGGGCAAAAGATGAAATGGATTTTTTTTAAGAGATCAATAATTAGATAGCTTGTATTTGAAAGCAAATGCTAGGTAAAAAATGTGAGTTTTTGTAGAAAAAAAAAATCCTGAATGCTTTGATGTTTAACCTTACTGCTCACACAAGAGAATAATAAATATTTCTTACTTGAGTTTTAAAAATATCAGTAGTAAACAGGCAGTGCTGTCTGGAATTAGGATCATGCCTGTGAAGAGGATTACTTGTTATAGGATACACACCATGGTCTCCTCCTCCTTCAAGGCCTTTAGGATAGTGGGTGGGAGGGTTGCAGTAGTGTAGGGTCTTGGCCATCTTTAGGATGGAAGAAGGGGGTGCAGCTCGCTGGAGATTGGCTGGATGGGGCGGGACTTTTAGGGCCGCCTTGTTCATGAGTTGGACTGTGGGGGGGACACATTTGTCACATTAGAAGTATAAGCTGCTTTGTTATAGGCAGTGAAAATATAATGGGAGGGAAATTAATGATATAGCGGTTCATACCACATGAAGTTGGAAGCTAAATACAGTAATAGTTAGATTACATTTCTACACTCATAAAAGTCTATTGGCTTTTAATAAATGTTTAAATGCTGACAATATACATATTCAGAAAAAAAAAACACAAGGTGATAAGACCAAATAAATAAATAGTGTGTGACATTTTGGTATCATCATTGTTACCATCACCAGATGAAGGTACTCAAAGGTAACTGCCATTACAGAAAAATCACACACTATTTATTTAGATTCTGTCTTATTACCTTGTGTTTCAAATCTATAATCCAAATTGCACCAATCATATTCAGAAGTGGTGGTATGGTTTGCCATTATCAAATTAGAAAACCGTCAAATTTCCAGCTATATAAGCAGAACAACCAATATGAGAGTCTGGTAGATGGCAAACTGGTGAAGGCTTCACTCCTGATTACCTAGGTTCTACCAATAACTTTGCATTGCATTAAGGACAGCAGAGAAAGTTTTTTTTTAAAGTAGTGAGTGCTAAATTGTTTCCCTATTCTTTTACAATCCGGAATCCTCCAAACATCAAGTACTTTGATATAATAATGCTAAGATTGAAACAAATGCCTAGATATCTACATACAGTCATATTTTCAATTTGATCTACTATTTAAATTGTGTGAATTTTCTCAAATGAATATATCTGAATAATTGGAAATTCTAATCTCCTTTCATTGAGGATGTTGCCATACTTTGTATATAGAGAACATGTAATTACAACCTCTAAATGATAAAATTACAGTAATTATATGTGATGATAGCTATTAAAGTAGGATGAAAGAGACAGGTGTGACAACGTTTATTTCATATCAGCAGTAACTAACTCTCAAAAAGATTCAATTTTTTTTATTTTTTTTTTAAATCACAATTTTTGTTAGAATAATGCCAAACATGCCACCAGATTTTTCTATATATAATTTTACCATTATTATTATTACTATAGTATGATAAGAGAGATAGTAGAAGATTGCAAAAAAAAAATTATTGAAAATATGAGGTTATTTTTAGTCCACTTTCATTTACTGGAAATTGCAGGGTAAAATTTATTTTGAAAGAAAATAGTAAGTGCAAAAAGAGCCATTTGATAGTGCAAAGATTTTGAATCAATTTAGATGGGAGAAATGTCCTTCCTTTCGGGTCAGTGGAAGGCTGGTTAAACCGTTTGGTTTACGACCACTACGACCCGGGTTCGATCCCCGCATTGGACACTTTTTTCTGTTTAAAAAAAAAAAATGCTCCAATGGCCCCCCGATTCTTGCAAAAGTCCAACCCCACCAGCGAGTGCAAGTAACCAAACGGGGCTTTGGCACATTTGTAAGTGCAAAGTCGAACTGCTTTCACATGTGTAGACATGTGGTGCGCTTACAGTAAAAAGCAGTCGCTAACTACCCACCATGATTATCATGGCCTGTACCACGTGTACTAGGGATAAATAAAAAATAAAATAAAATAATTTCCTCCTGGAAAAACTACCATCTCTATTTAAGCAATAAAATTGGCCTTTCCCCTTTACCAACTAAACCTTTTTGATAGAATGTTAGAATTGAATGCATTTATGAATTCCTTGTAAATTTCATAAAAATAAAGTTGTCATTGGGTTATGAATGCAAGAGCCTAAAACCAAGGTCTCAAGGTGAGCTTTGGTTGTTAGCAAAGAACCTGTCTACAAACTTTAAAGACCAGAATTTGTGATTCCTTGTAAACATTGAAATAGGATGAAGAACTCACAGTACCTGAAACTGAATATTAAATTGAAAATACCAAAGGATATGAAGATACTACTTTCAATTTCCTGTCCAATTTCCAAAGTCCAAATTATATTTCCTCATTGGTCTTCTTCTTATTCTTTCTGATCTACACTTAATCATATTAGGATATCAAGTTGTGAACCTTGATGGTGTCTGTTTGACAACCATCATGATTGGGGTGAAGTAGAATGTGTCTGCCTTCGTCATTAAGACTGGGAGCACTACTCAGGCAGATTTAGCTTCAAAAGAAATGGCTGCCTCTGACATGAGGAACAGATGCCATGTGCAGCCACTTCTAACATGGAGTACAAACGCTGCTCATCCTGTATCCCTGGTTTCCTCGTTGGTGAACCTTGAGAATTGCTTGGAGGCTAACATAACTGGATTACAATCTACAAATCTCCAGGATTATATAGGTCTGAGGAGACTAATAATAATAAACACAAGGTAATAAGCATTGTTACTGAAACGTCACACACAATTGATTTATTTGGATTTGGTCTTATTACCTTGTGTTTATAACCTATAATCCAAATTGTGCCTTATCATAATAATAATATCTATGATCTTCAGTATAATATTACCAAATGTTTAATAAAAATCAAAGCCTGGTGTGAAAAGGTAAAACTTTCACTAAGTCCAAACAAAACAGGTATACTCTATCTACATAACTATGAAAAATTGCCCATTAATTTTGATGAAAAAAATAATTCAACCATCAGAAACTGTTAAAATTTTGGGAGTTATTTTTAAAAATCATAGACAAAGGAATAAGATTAATTTTGGAACACATGTTGACAATATAATTATGAAAGCTACGAAACTTAAGAATATATTATTCTCATTATGTGCACGTACTTGGGGCATTGATACTCGACGTAGATTGATCTTATATAAAGCTATGATACGCTCTACAATAAGCTATGCATCAAATATTTGGTTTCCTTTTATCACTGCAGCAAAAAGATCCAAGTTGAATTCTATACAATATCAAATTCTTATTAGATGCATTCATGCTTATAGGACTTCATCTTCTTACATCACACATATACTAGCGAAAACCCCTTTACTGTCCGATTATCTTGAATTATTACAAACAAAGTATAATATGACAAATTCTCTCACAGATCGAACACTCAAAAAACCCCTTCAAAAAGAATTAAACAAACTATATCTGGATCTAAAATTTAAGTTTTATCTTTCTCAATCTAATGAACTGTTCAAGAAATTCTTTCCAATTGCTGTCCCAAATTTCATTCCTTCTGTTAAATTCACTACTTTATTCTTAACTGGCAAAGGACCCTTCTTAAGTTTCCTATTCAAACTGAATGCTATCAATGATCCAACATGTGAATGCCGCTTAGATGTTGAATCACCAGAGCATCTTCTTTTATCTTGCCCTCTGACTAATCAAATTGTATGTAGATACTTTGAAACATTACCAAATTCTCTTTGTGTATATACTCTATCTTATGAGAACTTTGTTAAGTTTAGAACTATTTGTACAATAATTTACAAAACACTACTAATCCATCGTGTAAATAATTAATCATATATATGTAAATAATACTAGCACAGCACAATAGTCCTTTGGACTTCGTGCTTTTGTAACAGTAAATAAAATAAAATAATAATAATAAAATAATGTGAAAAAGAGTGCAAACAAAATTTGGATGTCTGTGTGGTGAATATTGGAAATCTTAGTAAGGATGAAATGTTCCAGAGAGCCAGGAAATAGTCCACACATCCAGGGGAAACATCCAGAATGTGGTCCCATAAGTTGGCAAGGTGATGGCCTCCATATTCTCTCCTTCTGTGCCTACTGATATTCTACAGGTGTGCACAACAATGATTTACTATCTTTTAAGAAGGCTATACAATAACAGAGAAGCTGTGTTCTTAATGAGTTTTCCCCATTTGTAAGTGTTCTTCTTTTCCAATGATTTCTAGACTTAAGTCTGATCATCTATGTGACTTCCAGAGCAGTTGTGAATATGTGTCCCAGTAAGTGTCATATGTGACTCCCTCCCTAACCACATCATGTACTGACTCACCCATCCAGCAAATACATCAAAAACCTCAAGATTCACACACACTTCAGATCTTTATTAGGTTTAGATTATAGAAGAATGGGTTGTTCTTCTACCATTCAAATGAGCTCTATGAAATTTTTAGAGTGAGAAATCTTTTTAACCCTTTTTTCGTATTGTTGCTGTTATTAGAAATCTGACCAGTTGGTCGACATTCATGACAGAGGGCTGGCTGTTACCTCTGAAAGAGATACAAGTAAAAACAAATGTTTAGAATTAAATCCCAGGTATTCTTGGTGTAAGCTGTGAAGGCTCTTCTTTCAACTATGGGATCATCTTTCATTCATTCTAACTTTCCAGATCTTGGTATCCTGGACTGGTTGCGAGAGATAGTACCCATGTCCAATGGCTGGAGATGATTCTTGTTAATGGTATGTCATGTGGGCTACTTCCCCATGCAACAAAAGTATTGAAAGGTATCACCACTTAAACACAAAGTAATAAGACCAAATCCAAATAAATAAATAGTGTGTGATGTTTCGGTAACAGCGTTGCTACCATTTTTAGACAAAAGTACTGAATGAGAAATTTTACCACAGCAACTCATTCAGTAGTTTTGTCTGAAGATGGTAGCAACACTGTTACCGAAACGTCACACACTATTTATTTATTTGGATCTGGTCTTATTACCTTGTGTTTATAATCTATAATCCAAATTGTGCCTTATCAACTCTTAATAAAACATTTGAATAGTGAGACCTACATATGTACTTTGGAAATTTTGATCCAGAGAGAGAAACTTTCATATTCCTCATTTATCAACTATACATAGGTATAGATTTTTTAGAATTATTTCTTTAGGAACTTAAAATCATAGATTTTCCAACATTTTAATAAGAATTAAATTATATAAATACAGTCAACTTCTATATGAAAATAAGACCTAATCCAAAAAATTAATAGTGTGTGATGTTTTGGTAACAGTGCTATTACTGAAACATCACACACTATTAATTTATTTGGATTAGGTCCTATTTTCTTATAGCTATAATCCAAATTGTGCTTTATCATACAACCAACTTCTTTAATTCAACATCCCAAGGGATCAGAATTTTTGGTTGAAGTTGGTGTGTTGAATTATAGTCAGTTAAAGTGAATTATTGGGATTTGAGAAAAGGGTTAAAGTAAGGGTTGATTTAAAGTTGATTGAAAAGGTTCTACTGTATATATTGTTAATTTCTACTATAAAGATCCATCTATTCCCTTAGTCAACATAAATGTCTTCCCCACCCAAAATTATCCTTACTCTCTTTCAATCCTCTAGGTTTTAGCGTTCACTGAGGTTAATACTTCCCATTTTGGAGATCTATGTCCTAAATTATATTTTGCATTTATTTATATTAAATTATATTATATAAATTTATATTTAAAATAAATAGCCAAGGTGATAAAATATATTAGAGTCTGTATGAAAATATTTATTTCAACGGAAATCATGAAACTATTTTAAAATGAAAGAAAATGAGGTGTAGAATTCTATTTGTAAGAAAGTGATAATTAGGCTCAAATTTGATTTTTTTTTTTAATGGGTAACATATGCCCTCTTCCATCTCTGTAGCCCACTTTTTAACATATAGTGTGAACAAAATAGCATAAATATTTTTTAATTGACAAAAATATATTTAACATTTTTTATTGATAAAGAGGGATCTAATGATTGATAATATTCCCTATTATTACCAAGATTTTAAAGATGCATTGGTTTGCTAGCCGAAACCAACCTAATCATTTATAAACAATTATAAATGTTTTAAATACAAAAATGGTATATGAAAATCCTCTTTATATTTCTCTACATTTACCATATTGGTAAAAGGTATGGCTAACGCCCAATCGGCGACCTAAACCATCAACATATAAAATACCTCAAAACAATATATCACCCATGGTCTATTAATTAGTTGGGTCAATTTCTATCGATAGAAAATCTAGGTCAGTTAGTAATATTTCATCAATCTTAAATGTCAAAATGATACAAGTGTGTGTTATACTTTTGCTTATAATAAATACTATATTTCAAAATATGGCTTAAATATATAAATTTGCTTTAAATCGAGAGAAAGTTTACTTACGTGAAAAGAATATACCGAATATCCAAAATATCAGAATAAATAAAGATAAAAATTTATATTTTGTTATGATTTTGACAATATGGCACATATTCTTCATTTTAAAAAGCCCAATCTTTCTTGAAAGAAAACGTTTTAAGGAGTTCATCATAGAAATTTAAATGGTAACTTAGTGTCAATAACTTAAAGCAGAAGACTCCATGCTGATTTCACAGATTAAAGGGATTAATTTTCTTATATTTTTGGACTCTGTGGGTTATTTTGCTTGCTGTATTTAGAATAATATGAAATAAAATAAAAT